CACAGCTGGGCTGGCCAGGATCCACAGGAGGGTCTGCCTTGTCCTGGTCACTGCACTCCCTGCAACTCCTCTCTGAAACCAGTCCCTCTGACTCCTGGGTATTTAATGCTACTTGAACTTCTCAGCACCTGACCAAGATTTTTAAGAGATCAATTAGGCTTGTCTTCCATTAATTACTTAAATCGTATTAATCAGAGCTCATTAAGTGCCTTCAGTGTCATCAATTGCCAGCAGACTGGAGAAGTTTCTTAGCACCTTAATATCTTAAGTTGGGCCACTATATTTTGATCTGTTAGGAGAAGCTATTTTGTCATTCAAAATCAGTGAAATCTGTTGTTACAAATCCAGCAAGAAAAACCACAAATCAATAAATGTAGCAGCTCTGCATTAGTCTTCAGTCTCCATCCTAACACCAGAACCAGTTCAGTCTAACTCTTAAATGCTTCTCACCTGACACAAAGTATTGAAGTAGCACTATTTGCTAGACACCTGTGGAAGTTATGAATTTCATTTTCTTCACAGTTTATATTTATCACAGCTGTAGCTGGCAGACATCTATAGCTAGAAGTTATCAGAAGGTATTTTAAAACAAAATAATACAATAAATGATTTTACAGCATCTACCTGTACAGTGAGTTCTCCTCTGAACACAACACAGGCTTCAGGTTGGAGCACTGACATGAAAGTCATCTTAGAGAAAGAGTACCACAAAGTCCAGCATGACAACCATGCAGACCAAATATCCTCCTATTCATCCTGAGTTTGGATTCTGATAGATTCCAAGAGAAAACAGCTGAAATGGCCCACCCAGCCTGCCACAAGGCTGGGTGCTGACACCTGGTGCCTGTCAGCATCTTCCACCCCAGCTGATTTTGAATTGCTCGTTATGGTGCCCATCAGGAGCTGGGTTTGGCAACAATGACTCTGGGGGATGCTGGGGACAAATTTTCCTCCCACAGAAAATACAGCAGTGACATTAGTGCCATTCTATATACGTTGCTGCTGCTGCTTTCAGCTACAGGAATTTTTATCCTAGTTGAAACTCAGCCTGACTGGAACACTGCTCCAAAGAGCCATGTGGTGTATGGGCTCCATACGACTTATATCTCTCAGCAATAAACAGAAAAACACAGAGAAGTCATAAGAGGAAGCCAGACCTGGCAATTAGAAGGAACCAAACTCTGCCAGGCCTTCCAGGGATCCTCCTCAGTGCCAGAGGTCACCTGTGCTGGCTGACCCTGACCCCTGGCCAGGTGAAGGCACTGCCCTCGTGCCAGCCCTGGCTGACAGCAGGAGCTGGGGCCTCTCCACACACCCTGCACGGCCCTGCAGCTTCCAGCAACCACCTGCCAGCAACAAGCTCTTCAAACAGCTCTCAAGATCTGAGCATGGCTCTGTTCCTAGAAACTCGTCTGGCTACGTACGGGATTTTAAGCCAAAGACATCTTGACTCAACCAAGTGGAACTAAATCATCTGTACAGACACCACTATGATGATCCTTGAGCCATGTCCCCATTCCTTATTCCCTTTATAGCAGATGTCCAGTGAGCTCTAACACAAGTCACAGCTGCCCACCTGAAATCACACACACTGGGAACAGCCAGGATTCCCTCAGTGTCAGTAAATAAGTGTCCTGCCCTGCAAACAAGTGCATTCACCCGAAAGGAGAGCACTGAAACTAGAGCTGATTTACAACAAAAAGGAAACAAAAACATCGCTTGGAGGAAATGCTGGGTCAAGTCCACATTTTAGAAAACTTCCCAATAAAATTTTGCTCTACAATAACAAAATGGGGGAAAAATAAAACAAAACCAAATAAAATCATTTCCATGAAAAGTTTGCATTCCTTTAACTGTGAGGGAAGGGGGCAAAGCAGCTGCCCTGGCTGGTCCCCACTGCACAGAGCAGCACAGGCTGGGAAAGGCCCCTGTCCCTGCAGAGAGCAGAGCCACGGTGCCCTCCCTGCACAGGGACCTGTGCCTGCACAGGGGACACTCAACTGCTGGAACACGAACCCAGGGCTGGGACTGCTGCACAAAACAGTGTCTGCTACGTGTGCCTGGAAGACATTTTCAAACAGAACTCAATGCAAGAGTCAACCAGGATTTTTTGTGGTTGTGGATTTGAAAATACTGTATTTGACAATGTATTCTGGATGCTTAAGATTATCCAGGTATCCTGTTGAAAATGAAATATGAGACAGAGATTCTCCTGGAAAGCACTTTATTTCATCTTTAACCTTATACAGAATTTCTGACAAAAAAAATCTGCAGTTGTCTGTCTCCCCTCTCTCAACAAATGCAGTCATTCTTCACTATGAGAGGCTCCTGTGGTCAGATCCCCTCCAAGTTACCCTTTCCAACTATCCAAAAGGTTTTCTCCTTTCAACAGATTCTTTTCATCCAGCCATCAAAAGGTTGTGAATTTTTCATCACAATTAAAAAAGAAAGTTAGATGAACTTAAGAGTTCAAATTAAAGAGTTCAATTATCAGTTATTAGTTCAGTATATTTAAACTTCCTTACAGGTTTATGGTTATGTCACTGTGATGTTTTCCCTCTGTCACAGCTGTACCCTTCCTCTCAAATCCCACCCTTAGAGTTATCATATACTACTGGTTCTCCAACACAAACTAGGGTTTTTTCATTAAATACTCTAAGTTCACAGAGTTTATAGTCCCTTTAGTATGACTTTTTTAATAAAGACAAAAGTTTGTGTTGGAGCAGCAGCAGATAAAATGGGTTAGAAATGCAGCTGCACCAATCTGAACAAGGGAGAAATAAAAATATGTGCATTCTTAAAAAATAACAATAATTACAAAACTCACCATCAGGACAGGGTTGTAAATTACAGTTTAGCTGCCTTTATTGATCCAATATAAACATTAAGAGCAAGCCGTGCTATGCAGGGGAGGGAAAACGAAATGATCGTGGCATGTTTTAGATCCCCTGATTCATCTTTCCTGGCACAAGACAGAGTGAGCCTAAGCTGCTGTGTAGGAAGCAAGGAGATGGAGGTGGGCTGAGATGGCTCAGCATTGGCTCTGTCCTGTCAACAGCAGCTTGAAAAGGGATGCACCAAAGCTAATACATCACAAGTCTTTGGGGCCACCTCATAGAAGCCATGGTGTCTGCAGAACATGCCTTCAGCCATGTCCTTGCTGGGGTACCAAACTCTTTTTTGTGCCTAAATGTATGGTACAAAGTGCCAGAGTTGTACAGCTCTGAAACTTCCTTTTGGGCAACTTCACAAAGCCAAACATGACTTTAACTAAAAAAATAGTAAATATATACTGATGTTCCCAATTGGAGGTAAAGGGGTGTAGCTCTGCAAGAGTTCACTACACCAGCAACAGATAAAATGAGGACTGAGGCATAGCTACATTAGAGACAAACATGATCAGATCAGCCAGGAGTTAGATACCAATCTACCTTAATCTGCACTGACTATGTAAAAATAGGTAACATCAATTGTGGATGGAAGCTGTTCACCTAAAGGAACTACAGAGAGCATGCCAGCGTGCTAAGCACCCACAGAAATGTCCATTTCTGAGCAGAGGAAAAAGGAACTTCACATATTTGCAACATTTCTTGAGTCCCCTGAAAAATAAATGAACAATGACTTCTAATACTTCCTTCAGCACATCTTTGAAAGGGTCCTTATTGATGCAAAACAGGCATTTTGCCTCTGTGTAATGAGGCACAGGACAGAAGCCACAGACACAGTCCAGCAAGGGGTTCTCTCAGTCCCCAGAAGCAATTCAGTGACAGCAGCAAATGCTCTTCCAGCTGATGTCCCCAGCTGCAGCCCTGCTCAGATGTATTTCCCACTGCTTTCACTTCAAAACTTAATATCAGGCTCTAGACTGCAGGATAGACCTGACCTCAGTTTATTACCTGCAAAAAATCACCACTAACAATCACTCTTTTCTCCTTCCAAACCTATCAGGAAGAAGAGAAGAGGAGTGAAAATATGAGAACCATGCAGAACCCTTCCATTATGAAAGAAGCTTCCTCATTCCTTTTCCAAGTCTCTTACTTTGCATCCCTCTCAAAGTTTGGAAAGGGACTCATCATGATGAGTTAAGGACTGAAGGAAGGTAAAACATACACAGGGCAGTAATGACATCCTCCAGCAAAGAGAAATCCCTGCAAACTGACTGTAAGACATTGGAAGCCATGGCATTACTCCTGCTTCATTGTGTGCATTGTATTACACGTAGCTACTTACACAGAAGACAGGAAAAGCTGTATTTAAGAGACACTTAAAAAATACAGGTAATAATCTTCCTTACACTTTGCCTTCTGAAATGTAGCAAGAATAAGTAGATGGGCCTAGATCCTGTATTTTCAAATACATGGACACATGGACCAGAACGGCCTCAGAACCACGAAGACAGCTCAGCCAGTGGATGTGTTTCTCTGTGCATAAATCCTTTTTGGTCTTTGGAGTTTTGTGAAAAACAACTTTTAAAAATGTAATTTAAACCAGAAAGACAAACTAAATTCCTCAGAATCCAGAAGCATATTTGAATAATTAATGATTTGCCTCATCTGAGGCAGTGGGCTCAGCTCTTGTGTACAAAGAGACAAACAAAATAAATATTACACAAACCATGTTCTCTGAATGAGACTTTATCATCCAAGGATTAGGACTCTAGAGGGGTGGCAGAGCACTACTAGAGCTGCTGCTGCTTTGTGTTCCAAGACAGTCAGTCCAACATGCAGCTGGGGAAGTCCACAGCACAGGTATCCTTCACAGTCACCATCCCAGCTTCAACCACATCATTAGAAAATACAAATTCAACAGCCAGAGAGTCCTGATATGAATGTATAAGGACACAACTCAGGTGCTAAACTGGTATAAAGAAAACCCCTCCATTTACTGAAATGGAGCCATGCTGAGCCTTTGTCATCACAAGTAAATAGAGAAAAAAAGAAGATAGTTAACACTGTAGTAGCTGAAACAGTGCTGCACCACTATACTGAGCTGATAGTACACTAGCCAAAGTAGGACTTACATGCCTTCATTCCTGTAAAATATAAGAAATACTGATGTGAGATTATCTAATTGTCTGCCCATGAATAAATGTAGCAGACAAATAGAGGAAAATGAGCAAGACTCAAATCCTCGTGGCTTCCACTGAGTAAAAATCACATTTGACTTTCCAAAACACAGTCTGTATAATAATGCAAAACCAAGTTGTCTTCCCTTACCTTCTGCAAAAGGTTCCCATTCATAAAATCGACCCATAAATGGCTTGTTATTGTATGATGCACATTGCACCTCTCTAATATTTCTGCTGCTTTCAGGACACATCTGTTTAGATAAAAAAAAGTCACATTATAATCAACAGCAAAGTTATTATTGCCTTCTTATTAAATAACTTTAGAAGGTTAATGAAGGCATTGCAAAATTCTAATCCAGGTGAATGACAGAAACATCAGGTAACTCCTTGTCTTTAAAACAGTGTGCTTTTAAGTAACAGTACCAAAGTGCCTGTAGAAGAAAATGAATTTGTGGAGTAAATGGAGCAACAGTTCTATAAAAAAAAAATAAGGCTTTAATTGAGATGTCATTTTCCTCGGCAACAAGACAACACTTCAAGATAAAGTCAATAAATTAGATCAGAATTATTTCCTTTCCATAACAACCTCATATTTTTCATCATTCATTTTCTGGGCTGAGATTCAACAGAGTTGAAACACTTGACATACGAGCTTCCTTAACTTACTAAAAGCTGGCCACACCAGCTTCTCATTCTCATCCTATGCTTCAATACCATATTACCACTTTTCCTCTTGTAGTTCCACATGCTGGTATTACAGTCATTGCATGACTTTGCATTTTAACTCGTGCCTTCAAGTCCTAACTTCAGAGTTCTTGCACCTGAAGAGTAGGAAGAGCTTCTTGAATACAAGCACACGTGTGTGCACACACAGGTATTGAGGCAGGGCAAGTTCTCCAGAGAGAAGGAACATCCTTTATGAGGTCACCTGCAATGCCAGCCTTTGGCACAGCAGCCTTGTTTACATTTGAAGCAGATTACAAAAGTAAATACAAGTTAAATAGTTAAAATACTTAATTACTTTGTTCTGCCTGTGTCCTCACATTACTGCAGTTACAGCAGAAGCCTTCTCTGTGTGTGGGCACATACAAAGGGGAGAAAGACTTCTAGAAAAGGCAGGGGGTGAATTAGAACAGTTTCTATGTTTGGAGAAATAGGCAAGCTTTGGGCACAGATGCATTTTTTGGGTATCCTTTAGATAATCAATATGACTACTAAAAACACTACTCAAGAACAGCAGAAATCCCATGAAGAACTGGGCTAGAACAGCAGAATTTTTTTCTATATGACAGAGATTTCAAGGGAAAGCTGGAGCTGATATTCTATGAAAGCAGCATGGCTAAATAACTGTGTCTTTGCAGGGAACAGCAAGAGAATCTGTAAGAACAGCTCTTGATGCAACTGCAAGTCAGTTCTTCTATATTTGTACAGTGGGAAAGATGGGTTGTCTTTGCAGGGAAAGCCAGCACAGCAGAGGTCCCCGAGGAGTTCTTGCTTTGTATCCACCATCTCTGTAAGAAGATGCTTGTAAGTGGATCAAAGAGACGTCAGAGTCAAAGGTTTTCAACTGGGCTATAAACTGTACCAAAGACATGCCTTGGGGGAAGGTTCAGGGACTACTTTATCTTCTATTAGAATCATGGTAACAAATCTTCTAGAATAAACACTGTTTCTGGCCAAGCAGCCATCTGTGCTTTGTTCGCCCACCCTTCTGAGATCTCCAAGTACATGCAAATTGTGTTTTCCTCAACAAACCCTCTAATAAAAAAACCCCAAAACTAACAAAACCAATCAAACAAAAAGCCTTCCTTGAAAATAGGACCATGAGCCACCACATTGGAAGGGTGTGACCAAAAATTTTTCTAGTGCCAAAAGAAGAAAGCAAAGCTTTATTATTCCCACAACTGAAATCCAGATCCTTCCATGCGTGGCACAACATTGCAGCACAATAATTCAGCCACAACCACCAACCAAGGCGAGGAAACTCATGTTTTTCATGGAAACCCACTACTGCACATATCCTAAAGGGGAAGGGACAGAACCTGAGCTGGCATAAATTAAGGTCACTACACACTAAATCACAGCAGAACAAACATCAGTTTGCACCAGCCAAGAACCCAGCCTGAAGGGTTTCTATTTGGAACACTTTTCCCTTTTTTTTGGCACACTTTTGCTACCAAGCCTATTGTGAAGTTTAGTTGTTTCTTGTTTTTCCTTTTCTGACCCTTGAGCTCATGCCCTTGTGTACCAGTATTTCTGGCTCATCAGCCATTTCCTGTACACTCTGCTCATACCAACTGCAGGCGATGTATGAATAAAAATATCAAAATATTCATGGCTGTTGCCAACAAATAGTGACACCCATCCCTTCTAAGATCATTTTCATATAGCTACAATTTCTGCTTTCAAACTTACTGACAGTTGCCCAAAGGACAGAGGCCCCACTGCTTTAAAGGAGAACAAAGGACTGACAAATACACTCAACATTGTGTGGATGAAGCCAAAATCAGAAGAAAAGGCTAACTCAGTAACACCCCTGCTACTTTAGGAGTCCCAACTCAGTTGCCCTTCTCTATTTCATTCATCAAGGTTTAATTACAACTTAAAATTTTGAGTCAAAATTTGAGAGAGTGACCTGGCCTGCAAAAACCCTTTGCTTTATTCTTTATATAGATTATAACGATTTTTATTTTTAGATGTCTTCCAAAGTATTTTGTGAAAGAGGTAACTACGAAGTACAAGTAGCCAAAATTACTCCAATTTATGAATCACCAAGGTTTTAAGTGTTATAGTATACTGTACATGCAGTTAACATCTATGCACCATTTACTAACCCCACCTAAATTGTTAATGCATAGCTGAATGAAATGACAGTTTTATGCTGCCTGCTGCTCAGCCCCCCTGAAAATGAAACCCTTGAGCCTTTCTCAGAAGACCTAAGAGTGCTGGGCATTCTCTCTTGGCCTCTCTGTCTTTTTAGCACATCTTTAAGGCAGAAAATCACTAAAAGGAAAAAGCATGACCCTGTACAATCAAAAGTGAAGCTGCACTGGGGGGGAGGGAGGGGGGGTGTCCACAGATCTCCCATTTTTATTTATTCCCTGAGAGCACGACCCGTTTTTACACTTCTATTTAGTTACTAATTCTGTCATCTGTAGCTTGGCTATAAAACTCCTAAAATACAGCAGCAGGCACCTGTGGGGAGAAGATGGTAACCCCAAAGAAAGCTCATGTTTACAATGTCTAGAGTTCATGGTTTGCTTCCCAGCTCACACACAGGGCTGGGAGAACTGGAAGGTGACGGAGGACAAAGCTGGGCTTACCCACAGCCCGAGGACAAAGTCAGGCTTACCCAAAGCCCTGGGGGCTGCAGTGGGATCCAGTCCCACACGGGCTGGGCTCAGTTGGGCTCTGCCTGGCACTGAGCCCCTGCCCCTGCCCGGCACAGGGCAACTGGCTGTAAAAAGCAGGCACGTTGGCATGTTTGCAGATGAAGAATGTTCCTGTGGCTAAGCCAGAGCACTGGGATTTAAACAACCCAGATCTCTTTCCAAAATTTCCCAGAGACTTTTGGAATTAAGTTTGCTAAAATATTTAACTTGCTGTGTGACTCCCCCTCAGTTCCCTCTCAGTGACATGAGGGCATTTGGGTTGTGCTGCCTGGTAGGGACTTGAAAACAACTTTTTGGTAAACAAAGTCAAATTACTTCAGTGTTTTGTTAATGACAGATTTGGACTCATCTAACAATCATGACAGATGGAGTCATCTTAAGTTTTTTGTAGATGTTGGGATACAGAAAACAGGATGACCCCTTTGAATGTTTGTAAAAAAGGAAATAAAATCTCCTTTTTAACCCATGTCTGTGGAGGCCAGAGCAGCAAAAAATACACTTTGCACCTACTAAGATAAATCTCAGATTCCTTTGTGTAGAGGCACATATAAGTTGTCTAGAAATATATACTCTCTGGTGGGAGAGGTTTTTTTTAATTATTGTTTTTTCAGTTGTGCTCTGTAAAATTAGATACAGCATCTAGAATCCATAATTTTAAATGATGTTTCTCCTACTTAAACTATGCTGCTTGGACAAACCAGTGCTGTAAATTTAACATGTAGGACTGCATTCAGCAAAGTACCTTCAAAGTGCTGGACATTTTCACACAAGGTAAAGGTGTTTTCAGAGCTTCCACTGCTGCATTGACCACGACACCTCAGCCAACTTTTCCTCCTGAACTTTCAGAATGTGAAAGCAGCAGCAGCAGCAGCACAGCACTGCAGTGATGAGCCAGACAGTGCTTAACACAAAGCATTTTAGAAGTATCCCTTAGTGTTTTGGGACCTCAGGCCAAATTTCTTGAAATGCACTGAGCCTGCTGTTGATAGTGACTTCGTACTTCAGGAACAGCAGCTTTATTTATGCCTCAATTTCTTCTGAAATATGCAGGTATGAAAGTATTCTGAGGGACAGCAACACACAATACTTGTCTTTATCATGTACCATTAGAGCTTTCCTAAAAAGAGCTGCTGGTACAGCTAAGACTGGAAAACAAAGAAACCACCCTACTTGCCTTTTAGCTTTTGGGAAACATTCAAAAAGCAGAGGTTTTTAACAAGTCTTTGACACTTTGGTTAATTAAAGAAGTGTTGGCAGAACACCAGAAAATTATCAGTCTGCCAGCAGATGTGGGCTCACATCTGCCATCAGCAAACCTGTGTCAGCACTGGGCTGAGATAAAGCACTGCTGGAAATGTATAAACAGGCCTTTTTGGTCCTGAAACCACCTCTACAGGCAATTAAAACATTGACTAAGATTTTTGGCAACATTTCGTTCTTATGACCTACAGTAACTGGCAAACTCTTTTTCCAAGGGCCCATGTTCCTTCTTGATTCTCCAGGCTCAGGCATAATTCATCATTAATATTCTCTATGTGTGCAGTGCTACAGGTTAAATTAAGTCCAAGCAATTCAGTCGTACTCCAGCTTTCATTTCTGTAGTGCTTCTATGTGATCATATTAATCCTTTGACATCCCAAAGAATAAACACGTCTCCAAAGAAAAAGAATTAAAATACTTGTTTCTGAAATAGTAATCTGCAGATTCCTCTTCCATTTTCAGAGCTTACTCTTATTGTCCTTGCAATATGCATATTCTACAAACTCCAGGTCTTTGCACAACAACCCACCATGTCTGCAGTGACCTTCTGCTCTGAACTGCCAGTGTCTTGTTCCTCCTGAAACCTACACAAGTTCCAT